CTTAACAGGCTTATATTTGGGACAGGGGTCTATATAGGACAGGCCTTTAATTCCTTTCAAACAAAACTGTTTCTCAGCAAAGAAGGAAAACATGATTAAGTTATTTATTAAAATCAGTATAAATATTACTTGTATAAAAATTAGGCTTCGACTAACATTAATCATCAATCATTCATTTGGTCTAGCTTCAACAGACAGCGCATCAGAGACAGAGAGAGAGTTATGACACTCGTTTTAGAGCATGCAAGGATTATGGCACCCAGCATACCGACACAACACCACTTTATCTTGTGAAAACAATATTCATGACTTGCATTTATTCTCATGAAAAATGTTATTGATTCTTTTAAACGGTGGACTCTAACAGACTAAGGGAATATGAATAATTTACTGAGTAATCAAGGAATGGGCACATATTCTGACTTTATGTCACACTTCAGAGGTAGAATCACCACTTGTTCTTTCATCATGGCGGTAAATCTGAATGAGTTATGGTCTTCTTTGGTGCTCATGGTTTCAGTAAAATGATCTTAACAGCTGAATTGTGGAGAATCTAACTGGGCTAACGATGTGTAGCATCTCCATACTGACAGAACTTAAACCATTTATATTTGTTTGCACAATTTAAACAGCTAACTAATGTTAGCTTAAGTGGGTAACCAACACCCCAGTTTTATACATCCAAAGAACTTCTATGATCGAACTGCTTGGCTACCAAACAGGGGATCTAATTAAGACGGGCTTTTAGTTGTCAAAATGCGTAGCTACAGCAGGCTGGTAAAAGAGACTTGCCGTTTAATCGGGACAAGGCTTTTAATTAAAGTTGCACAGTCTTCTTTGTACTAGGTTCTTTTGATTACTGCTGCTGTGACCTGCAGATTTCCCAGGGGATAATTTTATATGAAGTTAATATGTTAACTTAACAGATTTCTCGAGAACAGACTGTGCTTCACGCCTTGGACTCGGGTCGTCTTCGGTCAGGAAAATGCAGCCCGAGTGCGCTCACCGAAAATATGGCCGAAAAAAAAAACAAAAAAAAACGGGGGTGGCAGCGTCCTCTGTCACAGTGTTAAATGGGCAATTAATATCTCCTAATATTGACCGCAGACCCCTGAATCATATCGAATCGAAGTCGTATTGTGGCAGACTTTGTGATATCGGAAGATATCATATCGTTGTCAAATAAATCAGTTTAATATCATATAGTGATGGAACTGGTGATTTACACCCCTAGTTTTTACATAACAAAATAACAATGGACTTTTATTTTTATGACTCTAGAGGAATTAAAATATGTTTATCACTGAATTAGCAGAACTTTGTTTGCGGCTTTTCTTCAATTAAGACAAGTCTAATAATATGGGAGGGAGGAAGAGTAAAAGCAGAAACAGCCACAATGAGATGTTGATGAGGAGCTGCAGACAACAGGCTCTTACTGCACCTCTGCAAACACCTATGCCCACCTCAAACAGGTAAACTTCTTTTACTTGCCCTGCTGTGGAAAAACACATGCAGCAAAAATAACAGAGGACTTTAGCCGTGGATCAACATGCATCTAAACATGTAGCCCACTTAGTAGAAAATACCGGGATGTATATTATGTATCGCCATTCATCCTGAAAATACCAACATATGAATTTTTGTCCATATCGCCCAGCCCTAGTTGCCACCCAAAAATACTCCTGGAAAGAGAGACTAATAATACACCTGTCTTCCCCACATGGCTCACACATTCCAAGCATCAACAGCATCATCCCCAGGCTAGATTTCTTTATGCACTATGCAACAATCTACCATGCCATCCCCCTCATCCATTAGGCAGGCCATGGAGCCTGGCTTTCTAAAGCAGACATCATAAGCACATTAAAAGTCTTGCCAATTCATCCAGACTACTGGTACTTTTCGGGGTGCTGGAAGGGAACTGTAGAAGCAGTCCCTGGATCATCCACTCAGCTTTTAGAAGCCCTCTGCTGGATCCTGACTAACAACTACAGACTCCCTTACATTTTCCATCTTCTTGAAGATTTCCTCAACGTCATTGCACCATCCTCACCTCCTCACCACAGGCACCACGCAAGCTTACTCAGACCTTGGTGTCCCTCTCTCTGAAGATAGAATCTCAGGAAATAGCACCTCCATTGAGTTCCTCCATCCATCCATCCGTTTTCTGGGTAGGCAAACTCCCATGCCCCCTCCAGCAGCCTTGCAAGGGTAAAGAGCTGGTACACCGTTCCATGGCCAGGACGGAATCCGCATTACTCCTCCTGAATCTGAGGTTCAACAGTCAGTCAGAGCCTCCTTTCCAGCACCCTGGAGTAAACTTTACCCAGGAGGCTGAGCAGTGTGATACCCCGATAGTTGGAGCACACCCTCCGGTCCCCTTTTTTGAAGATGGGGACCACCACCCTGGTCTGCCACTCTGCAGGCACCGTACCCGACCTCCACGTGACACTGAACAGGCGTGTCATCCAAGACAGCCCAAGAGTGCCCAGAGCCTTCAGCATCTCAGGACGAATCTCATCCACACCACTGAGTTCCTAAGCAGAGAAAATACAGCGCATCACTCTGCTTCTGTCAAACTATCCTCTGGCAGACAGATGCACAAAACACCAGCTACCGGCTCTCCTCAACCACCTCATTTATGCCATTCTCATAATTCAACAAGCCAAATCTTTCCTGTCCAACCTTTGAACCAAAACCGCAGCCATCCCCTCGCTCCATGATTAAGTTGTTTTAGATGATGCATGCAAAATGGAAATGCATTTGTGGCAACATTTCCTTTCTTCTTGGAATGGCATTTCCTTCTTCAAAGATGACTACATCACTCAACCCGAGGACATTCTACACTAATGCACCTCCTTCCATTGGTGGTTACTGCGGAGGGCAATGGTTCTCTTCTGTAGCCCTCAGAGCTCTTGACTCGGAGTCAATCAATCAATCAATCAATTTTATTTATAAAGCCCAATATCACAAATCACAATTTGCCTCACAGGGCTTTACAGCATACGACATCCCTCTGTCCTTATGACCCTCGCAGCGGATAAGGAAAAACTCCCCAAAAAAACCCTTTAACGGGGAAAAAAACGGTAGAAACCTCAGGAAGAGCAACTGAGGAGGGATCCCTCTTCCAGGACGGACAGACGTGCAATAGATGTCGTACAGAACAGATCAGCATAATAAATTAACAGTAATCCGCATGACACAATGAGACAGAGAGAGAGAGAGAGAGAGAGAGAGAGATGCAGGTAATGACAGTAGCTTACAACAACATTATTGAAAGTAATAATATTATAGTCATAGTTCTGGCTACTGTGGTACAATATGTTGAAAGTATGTATTAATATCTGGCAGTATACATGTGTGACAATAGTCATATGTGTATAATAACAGTAGAAGTATGACTAACCCACTCTCACTCATCCGCGCTTCATAAGCTATATCCCATTGTCATAGCTGCCATTCTCTGGGGGCATGGATGGTCTACGAAGTCCATACTAACACATTCCAACAACACTGAAGTCGTAGAGATCCTAAACAAAGGTCAATCTTGTTCTCCAGCCATCATGCAGTTCATGCGCAGGCTCACATTAAGCTCAGCTCAACACCAATTCATTCTCAGGGTAGCCCATATTCCTGGTTAGCATAACAGCATTGCTGATTCACTGTCTAATTTCTCATTCAAGAAATTGAGACACTTGGCCCCAGAATCAGACACCCCATACCAGTCCCACTGTTTTCAGCCACGATATCCAACTAGCTCCAAAGCTAAGAAACCTCTCCAACGCTTTACAAGAAGCCATCCTCAATAGCCTGGCCCCAAGCACTCTCTCAGCCTACTTAACTGTCTTGAATGGCTTCAACGCATATCACGCCACTTACCAGTCCTAATTTACCTCTCTGAATGTCATGTCCATATAAAATTTTATCACCGCGCTCATTCCAATCAAAAAAATCCAGTCCTCCACCTACCTACCGATCAACATCATTATCAAACTAATCACAGGCCGCCATTGTCCCACTATCTCTCATCCTCATGTCACAATGCTGATCAAAGGCTTGCATAAACAGGAACCCACTCTCACAGCTAGATGCCTGCCACTCACCTCTGACCTTCACAGCCTCTGTATTCATTCCCAGGCTACATATCCCCTATGGTCGACTTACGCTCCGAAGGAGCAAAACAGACCAACTGGGAGTTTCGGTTCCTATTTACATTTTCTGCTTTGATTCCTATCTCAGCCCATACGAGCCATTGACCAAATACATCAGCTCTAGTATGCAGCCAAAGCATCACCTCAACACCCACTCTTTCTCACCCAAACAGTAAAAATGGCAACTTGTTTCTGGTGACAATCCAGGTCCTTGGCTGCTGGTCAACTCTGGCATTTTGCACTTACATCCACAACAATCTTAACAATCTCCGTCAAGCCCATGCCCAACTCAGCTCGCTTTAATCAGACTCTTTTGGGGGCCTGTAATCAGCAGACACACACTGAGTCTCCCTCTGTTTGATCTCCAGTACATTCTCTCAGATCAACCTAACAGACAACATCCCTCTTCCACTTTCATCCCCCCACTTACATCCATTCACCAGTCCTCAACAATTAACACCTCCTGAATTACAATTAAACATATAAACCACATATTGTTGTGGTGTGATCCTTGCTAGTGAAGTATCTATGTATCTATTAAAACACCACATCAGACACAAGAGGCATACTGCTGATGGTAACGCCATCATCCATATCATGTCTTACAGAGAATTATGGGCAATAAAGGACCCTGAGCCAAGAGCCCCTGGCAGAAATGCCTTCTATGTGACAAGAAATAGAAAAGACAGCAGTGTGCCGCACTATCAGTTAAGGCTCACCATACTGCATCACAATACATAATGCATGCTTGTCTTCCTGCTTGCTATGCTTGCTATGCTTGCAAGAAGAGTAACCTGGAGAACTGCTACGCATTTATTCACTGTGTAGACAGAATATTTGTATACTTACTGCAGTGGTGTGGAGCTTCATTTTGAATTTTTCCAGATAGAGCCAGTGTTTGGACTCGCTGGGGTCCAGGTCATGGTAGAAGTCACGTGCTGCATAGCCAAAACTGTGGAACTTCCTGTCTGGAGTCAGCAGGATTGTGGTTGGAGTCTTCTGATTGGACACACCAGGGTCCCCGCCTTCCCAACGTCTGGGAAGAAGTGAATTATCAATACATGGACCCTAAAACTGTGTATCTGCTTTTGTACTAATCAAATAGAGAGTTTTGGAAATGATTATTCATTTAACCAGCAGCCTTGTCAGACTTTCTATGTCATATGCACTAATGCATCTATTATGAGCTACATGAATAATGAGGAGGCAGCACATTTCAGATCATGCTTTCTGTAACATTCACAATTAACTTATAAACATTTCTATAAGGTTTAGATAAGTCACTTAATTCTGTCAGACAAGCCAGATGAACTTCTCTTGTAGGCTAATTGAGCAACCGTGTATTTCTGGACAAATGGAGGTCAGCTACTATTAGTGATATCTCTGTTCCTTGGGACAACTGTATGATGGGATTATAAAGGACACAGATCATGTGATGTTAAGAAGAACTAATTTAAGGATCTGGGGGGAAAAAAGGATGGAACAGTTTTTAGCCTGTGAGAAATAAAAGGTTGGTGGGATACCTCTTACATCTGAAATAACAATTCTGCAGCCAACAGAACCCTGATTACTTATACAATAAATTCAAATCTCCATTTTTGAGTTAGTAAATTCTTTGTACAGCTGTGTTATTATACTATCTGGTCCATAGTTCTTTGTATTTTTCACATCAAAAGTTCCTCCCACGATGAAACTAATAATTACAGACTGAAGAATGTGGCTGGAGTGAATACTGTTGAAAACAGGGCGTAAGATGGACAGACAAGGCATGGAATACCAGAGGGTGGCAGTGTCCAAGTGTCCATAGTTGGGGTTGCACTTGGGAACTTAGAGGAAATTATGAATTTTGTTGCCCTAGTAACCTGGCAGTTTTGCACATAGAGTGTTGATTGGTCCAGAGAAGACTCAGTGATGAGAAGTTTTACTGTAATGTTCTGAGATTTCTCATCTGTGTCATCTGCAAACTTATTGTCAGGGTCTCTCACATACAGTACTGCATACTCTCAATGATTTGCACTCCTGGAAACTGTGAAAATCCATCCGACTTGTTGAATCAGCAGAAAAGCACAGGAGCTGTGTACCTATTAAAGTGACGGTACATCAAGGCACCTTCATTTAATGTGCATGACTGTACAATGTTAGTTTTGTAAGGGTTATAGGCAAACGAAATTTGGTACACACATGTATCATACCGAGACGCACAAAAAAGTCTCTTAACGTCATGGTAAAATCCCAACAGGAAGTCGGCCATTTTGTTTTGAATTTTTTCGTTATGGCGATTTCCACAACTTATATTTGAACGAACTCCTCCTAGGAATTTTGCCCGATCGACTTTAAATTGGCTACAGATCATCCAGAGACCATGCTGATCAAAAGTTGTGCTCTGCATGTCTGTCGGTCAAAGGGCGTGGCTGGAAGGGCATGACAAATTTTGGCGACGTTTCAGTTTCTAGCCATCGAATTTCAAACGGCTATCATGCCCACATACTTGATCGTAGCAGCTTCAAACTTGCTGGACATGATGATGGCTCCGCCCTGAATTCCCCAATATGTTAATATCCCACCTTATTCGTAGCGCCCCACGGTGGAAACAGAAAGTGACCAGTTCTTACTTTAACATGTACTAATGCCACAAACTTGACCGCATCAACTTCATTCCACTTCTAATGAATGCAGAACAAGTTGGTGAAGCTACCTTATGAATGCTGTGAAGCCACGTTTAATGGTGTCCATGTGGCGGTGTGGCGACTATTGATCCCTCCCCACTAAATACGTTTGGCATTTTCATGGCTTCAACGACCTCATCTCCTCATGAAAATTGATACACAGGTCAAGAATGTGGAGCTCTTGCATATGATAGGGACGTCGCCCATGGGGGGGTGGGGGGGGGGGG